TCCTACATCAGGCTGTTTAACCTGATGAGAATTCTAATACAAGGGCTGCCGGATGAGGTAGCCTACACTGACTTTTTCAGAGGTCTTAAGGATGGATCGACCTTCAAGTTCGACTTGATCCGAAAGAGGGTTGCGACTCTCCAAGAAGCATTGATCAAAGCTGAAGCCTATATACAGGCGACTGATCTCTGTAACACTAGAAAACAGTCGGATGGAAGGAGGTCTGACAAAAAAGAAAGCCGACAAAAGCAGTCGGCAACTAAAGATGAGAAAAAGAGGAAAGATGTCTGGGCGGCCGACTCTTCTGGACAGCTGGCCTAGAAAATGAATAAAAGAATTCAAACCATACTCTCCCAAGTATGCGTTCAACAAGGATAACCAAGCTATCCTCAAAGAAATCAAGAGCCGGATCTCAATCGAGAAGCCGGCCCCGATGAAGGGTTCTGTAAGCAATCGGAACCAGGATAAATTCTGCCATTTTCATGAAGATGTTGGTCATGAAACCAATGAATGTATTAGCCTCATGCGCTATCTGGACTGGCTGAAAAAGGCAACCTTGACTCCTATGTCAAGAAGTCCAAAGGGAATGCTCCCCCAAAGAACAAGCAGTCGGCCAAGAAGAATCATCGGCTGGCTGACAGTTCTGATACTTATGACGCAGTCGTCTACACTATAGCCGGCGGCTTCTCAGGAGGCGGCCCCAATATAAGGGGCAACAAAGACAATATCAGGCGGCTAGATTTTAATTCCGTTCACCAAGGACGGACCGCCAAGAGTTCATTCCCATAAATTGTCATCACAGAAGAGGATCTGGGAGGTGTTAAGGGCCCGCATGATGACCCCATTGTTGTTCAATGTAAGGTGGCCAATCAAAGAGTTGGCCGGATCCTCATAGATACTGGTAGTTCTTCTAATCTCATCAGCAACAAGTGCTTGGCAAAGCTCAAGTACATAACCGATTGCATACATCCGGTATCTCACCCTTTAGTAGGGTTTGGAGGAAGTGTTGTACGCCTAGTGGGACGAGTGGATCTGCCCATCCTCCTGGGTAAGAAAGGGGAGGGCCGTCACATAGTTGTTTGGTTCTTGGTAGTTGAAGAACTGTCGGCCTACAATATGATATTGGGACGACCCACCCTGAACAACTCTAAAGCTGTCATTATACCCTATCTTATGCTGCACAAATTTGAGAGGGATGATGGAACAGTCGGCTCCCTAAGGGAAGATCAAAAGATGGCACGAGAGTGTTACCTCTTGGATATCAAACCCACTGTGCATGCTGCTGGCCCAAGTGGTGAAAGAACTGACCTTGAACTCATCAAGGAGGATGCGCCTGCTCAAGTGGCAAGCGACAAGAAAAGAAAGGCTACCCAATTGGGGGCCAAAAGAAAAGAAAAAAGATAGCAATCACTGGCAGAGGAGCGGTCGGACGAATTCCGCCCTCAGCCGGCTGGCGAACACATGGATGTTGTCCTGGGTGATTCACGTCCTGACCGAACAGTCAAGGTTCGGACGACTGCTCTTGAAGTTTTAGGTGAATATTTTCACCAACTGTTGAAAGAATTCAAAGATATTTTTGCATTCGAAGTTCATGAAATGCCTGGCATCAGCCCTGACCTGGCTGTACATAAATTGGCTGTGGATCCGAAAAAGAAGTGGATCAGGAAAAAGACGCGGAACCATGGTGAAGAAAGAAGTCAGGCGGCTGCTGCCGAGGTTAAAAAGCTGCTTGATGCAGGGTTCATTCGGCAATGCTACTTCCCTGACTGGGTTGCAAATGTGGTACTAGTAAAGAAGCCGAATGGTACCTGGCGAATGTGTGTGGACTACACTGATTTGAACAAAGCATGCCCCAAAGATAGCTATCCATTGCCTAAGATTGACAACCTGGTCGACTCAACAGCCGACCATGCTTTAATGAGCTTCATGGACGCCTAATCTGGCTTCAATCAGATTCCTTTGTCGAAGAAAGATCAGGAGACGACAACATTCGTCACTGATCAAGGGCTGTATTGTTACACGGTCATGCCATTTGGTTTGAAGAACGCCCCGGCTACCTTTCAAAGAATGATAAATACGGTCTTCTTTGGCCAAATTGGAAGGAATGTTGAGGCATAAATAGATGATATGATTGTTAAGTCCAAACATCAGACGGATCATCTGACGGACCTCCGAGAAACATTCACCACACTCAGGCGGCCATGTCATGCTCAATCCCATGAAATGTGTTTTTGGGGTTGAGTCTGGGAAGTTTCTCGGATTCCTCATTAATAAAAGAGGTATAGAGGCAAACCCTGAGATAGTCCAGGCGGTCATTGACATGCAGTCACCTCGCACCATCTGAGAGGTTCAGAAGTTAACAGGTTGTCTGGCGGCTCTTGGAAGATTTCTCAGCCGGTTATGCGACAAGTGCCTTTACTTTTTCCAGGCAATAAAGAAGAAGGCGAGGTTTGAATGGGGGGCGGATGCTGAGGCGGCCTTCCAAAAATTGAAAGTTCATCTGCATTCCTTGCCAATGCTGGTCAGTCCCTTTCTTACAGAAGTACTCTACATGTATCTCGCAGTCTCTGACCATGCTCTAAGTGTCGTTCTCTTTGTTGAAAGAGACGGCTGCCAGCTCCCGTTCTACTTTGTCAGCCATGTGCTGAAAAATGCTGAGTTGAGGTACCCCTTAGTGGAAAATTTCGGTCTCGCCCCCTTCATGGGCGTTAGAAAATTGAAGTCTTATTTCTTGGCACATTCAGTCATCGTATACACAGATCAGCCAATCAAGAGACCGCTGACTACCATAGAGTCATCAGGTCGAATGATCAAATGGGCGATAGAGACTCAGAGCCTTGAAATCACATTCGAGCCAAGAAAAGCAGTAAAGGGGCAAGCATTTGGTGATTTTATTGTGGAGATGACTCGGCCCTATGAATCTCAGAGTCCAGACCAAGTCTGGAAGGTCTATGTGGACGGGAGCTCCACCTCAAATGGTTATGGAGCAGGCGTCATATGTCAGTCGCCAGAAGGCGACAGGTATGAGTATGCTCTACGTTTATCTTCCAAGCCTCGAACAACGAGGCAGAATATGAAGCTCTACTGGCCGGTATCCGCATGTGCAAGGTGGCTGGGGCAAGAAGGATAGACGCCTACTCTGACTCACAATTGATAGTGAGTCAGTATAATGGCGAATACGAAGCAACGCATCCGACCATGATTAAATATTTGCAGGCGGTACGACAAGCAGTCGGGTCCCTTTAAGAGTTTCATTTGACTCAGGTGCCCAGATCTAAAAATAACCAGGCGGATGCTCTTTCAAAGCTGGTATCCTCGGCCTCCTGTGATACTCCATGAACTGTCTTCTGGGAAGTTATGGAGAAGAGAAGTATTGAAGAAGATCCTATTGGAATTCAAGATTAAAGTTCAACCTGGATGGACCGAATTAGGGCATACTTAATAGACGGCACCTTGTCAGATGATCATTACCTGGCGGTTTTGCTGAAAAAGCAAGCATCCAGTTTTGAGATGCGAAAAGGGGAACTCTTCAAGAAAGGGTACCTTCAACCCCTCTTGAAATGTGTTACCCCAGAAAAAGGACGAGAAGTGTTAGAAGATCTGCACTCTGGATACTGCGCCTCTCATGTAGGCGGCAGGTCGCTTGCTCAACGAGCAAGGCGCCAGGGTTAATTTTGGCTACCTTAGAAGCAGACGCCATGGAGATGGTGAAAAAATGTGACAAGTGTCAAAGGTTTAGCAAATTAATTCACCGTCCGGCTACTAATCTCACTGCCATCCATAGCCCACTACCGTTTGCTAAGTGGGGCATGGATATCCTTGGTCCCTATGCGCCTGCTACAGGCGGTAGGAAATACATACTTGTTGCAGTCGACTACTTCACCAAATGGGTAGAGGCAGAGGCTGTTAAGGGAATCAAGACGAAAGATGTGATCTTATTCATTTGGAAAAATGTCATCACTCGGTTTGGAGTGCCCATGTCTATGGATTTTGACAATGGTCTCCAATTTGAGACACCTGTTATCAAAAATTGGCTGGGAGACCAAGGCATCTCGCACTGCTTTGCATCAGTCGGCCGTCCTCAAGCAAACGCCCAGGGAGAAGCTTTCAATAAAATCATCTCAGACGGTCTCAAAAAGAAGATTGAACGAGCAGGCGGCCTATGAGCAGATGAACTACCACATGTTCCTTGGGCCATTAGGAAGACTGGAAAAGGGTTGACTAGAGAAACCCCATTCCTCCTAACTGATGGTGCAGAAGTTGTTCTTCCAATTGAACACTACAAGCCGACTCTTCGAGTAATGTTGTATGACGAAGAGGCGAACTGGGAATCCATGCGCCTAACATTGGACTTACTTCCAGAAAGAAAGGGCAATGCAACCCCGCGCCATGAAATCTACCGCCTGAGAATGACAAGGTTATACATTAAAAGAGTGCACAGGCGTCCACTCAAAGTGGGGGATTTTGTACTAAGAAAAATGGAAGCAGTTGGTAGGGCTAATGAGTCAGGCAAATTAACTCCCAACTGGGAAGGACCCTACTGAATCTATGAAGAGGTCCAGGAGGGCACCCACCGTCTGGAAACACCAGACGGCCAACCCTTGCCTCAAACCTGGAATGTAGATAATCTAAAGAAGTATTATTTTTGAATGATGTAAATAGCCAAGAGCTACTAATAAAATTGCTATTTTACTTCATCTATTTTGTATTATGAGAGACATGCCGCCTGCTCCATTAGAAGTTGGCTACTCTCAATTTCACTTAAATATACATTCAATTAAGAGGGGCACGCTGCCTGTAGCCATACAGTCGGCTACTCTCCTAAAACTTAGTTAGCCATGAATTACCTAAGGCCTATGGTCAAATGATCAGACCAGGTGCCGAGCCATCTGATCCAATCTTCAATCTAATACGACCTGTCCCAACATCATAGCAGGCGTCCGGCGGCATCCATTGGGATGAAATTCGTCGCAGAGAGCAGCTCACTTTTGGGTGGAACATTGTTCTATAGACTAATTACACGGCACCTAGACGACTGTCCCCAAGGACAACCGCGTAGCCGTTTTTGAGACAAGGAATACTCCAACACTAAACCAAACAAGCGTTAGCAGTTAACATCCGAGTCGGATAACCGTATGTATTACTTGGGATAAGTACAGCCGGTACCTCTTGAGTAAATAGCCAACAAACATTGGTGAATCAAGAGAACTAGCCGGCCTCCTCCGCCTGGTGCCTCTACTACTCAAGCATAAAAGATGACGAATGGGTAACCTCAAAGATTGCCCATAAGTCACTCTTTCATACTTAGTCAGGATTCAAAAGGTATGACGAGTCTGCCTGCCTTAAGGCGAACCAGAGCTCTCGTACCCTAACCCTACTAAGATGATTTCTTTTCAAACCAAACACGTTTGAAAATCTGGTTCGTGGGTCGACTGCTTTTTTGTAAGCAAGGACCAAAGAACTACTCCTATCTTAACAAACAGGCGGGCTAGTTATAAGCGGCCTGTTCCTTTCTAACTTGAAAAAGTTAAACAAACCTAAAGTATCGCCTAAAATATGTTGGGGGTCCGACTGGATAAATGGCCGACTGATCGCCTAACTTGGAACCAAGAAAACCAGTCGTCCAGGGCATAGGCAGTCGTTACTTTGTACCTGTTCGCAACTTTTGGCTTACAAATTTTAAACAAAATGGCTAGCCGAAACAGTTGGTATGGCATGAAAACGGATATTAAGGACCCTTGACACTTAGCAAAAATAAAGCATAAAACAAAATTCAATGAGCAAAGACGACCAAAAGATGGTCGCCGAATTCATATAAACAGCCGGCCATAAAGACCGGCAAAATATTCAATACCCTGGCCCCCTGGCCGGGTAAAATGATATAAGAGTAAACGGCGCACAGGCTGAAGAAAAGTTAAAGAAATAAAAGCTTTAAGATTGAGGCAGGGTTTCAGTATTGACTGTCGCCTGATCAGTAAGGGACGCCTGGTTCTGGGAGGCATCCTTATAACTTGTCTCGGCATCAGGGGCAGCCTCTTTAGATGCATCCACCTCAATCGGCCGCAGGGCCACGTCCTCCTCTTCCTCTTCTGAGCTAGACTCGGCCGCATGCCTCATGATTTGTTGGTTGTACTTTTCAGGACAAGCATTGAATTTTTTCTCCCATGCGGCATAGTTGGATTTTGGGAAGAGATTCGTCCAAGTCATCTTCATGATTTGAGCCGAGTCGTCCATCATGGCTTGGACTAGCTCCATTTTTTCTTTTTCAGCCTTGGCCGAGAGCTCATCAGTGAGGCTTTTCTCCTGCTGTTGCAGGCACTCTTTTAAAGCAGCCAAGGATTTCTCCATGGTCTCGAATTGGGTCATCTTTTGCCTAAGCATCCCCAGCTCATCTCGGAGACTCTTAACCGTCGCCTCCAGCTCATTATTCTTCTTTTTGGCCGCCTCCAACTCAGTATGAATAGTGGAAGTGGCCTGCGCCTAATAATAAAGAATATCAGTTGTCAAAATTTAATTTTGGGCAATTTGAAACATTGTCTTATCAACGTCAGAGGCGGCCATAGCTTTAGAAGCCTTTACCTCTTTATTGTAGGCGCTAATTGGCCTTAAGAGACCGTGTACTCTCAGCTTGGTCTGGAAAAAGGAAAAACAGGCGTCAGATTTGAGAATAGCAGGAGGTATGCAAAGTAACCAAATTAAAAATATTCCAAGTCTACCTCAGAAAGGAGACCCATGATGCCGCCTAGGTCAAGGGTGCCGACTCCCTTGACCGCATCCCTCTCTTCTTGAGGGACGACCTTAATCATAGACTTGGCCATTTGGACCAAGTCCGGTTCTTGAGGGCCGCCTGCATAAAAAACAAAGAGAAAAATCAGAAACGTAAAGAAAGTGATAACTAGTGGTGTACTCTCAGCAGACCAGTCTATACCTCTCGGCGGCCGACTGAGAACTAGTGGTGGGTTCCCCACACTTTGTGGGGTGACTGGCTGCTTGTCAGCCGACTGTTTCCTGGCAGATCCAGGCGTACTCCCACCAATCGTCTTCCGAACCTTCGAGTCCGGTTGTTGGGAGGAGGAAGGTTTAGAAGTGCCCGCCTGCGAAAAAGATAAATGTTCAACACTGATGTAAGCAGTTTTTCAAGACAAGTTCTAAGGCTCGAAACTCACTATGGGCGTCTCCTTGGCAGGAGAATTAGAAGAGGTCCGCTTCTGTTGCATGATGGAGGCTCGCAGCAAAGCACCCGCCTTCTTAGATGCGGAGATTTGGTCCATAGATTCAAGTACAATTAAGAACTACAAGAGTTAGAAAAAAATTTAAAAACAAATCAAAGAAGGGTGCATATATTCAAGAGGCCGGCTACCTCTGGAGGACCGACTGCTTAGGCCGCAAGCGGCCAGGAAAAACTCGTCGTAGAGCCATTGAAACTCTGGGATGCAGTTTAGGGGCACTTGCTCTCGTACCCCAGTAGTAGATTTTGCCCTAATCTATACTTTAAAAAGCCCTCGGTCCAGGATCTCTTCCATGGCCTTTAGGGGAACCAGCGGCATGCTGCGACCGCCTGCTAGAAGAGGCGGATCCTTGTTCCACCTATTATAGCGTTTGTTCTGCAGACGGTCAGGGATGGCAATGATGAGGAAGGTGTTCCTCCAATCCTTCCATTTATTTTCTTTGCCCCATGTCATCAAGTAGCCTTTGTGGCTCGTTATTTGGTACCAGCCGGTACCGCTTGCCTTAGAGGTCCGGCTGAGATAGTTCATATGGGTGAACGCCTCGAAATTCGGCTGCACCCCGTGCATTTCACATCCGGCTACGTAGCCAAGGATGTTGAACCAAGAATTAGGGGCTAACTGCCAAAGCCCCACCTCGTATCCGTCGAGGATTTGCTGAATGACTAGGTGAAGGGGAAATCGTAGCCCCGCCTTAATGGCCACCTCGTAGCAGCCAAAACAGGCGTCCCCGTAGCTGGATCTTGCGGGCCAGACGACGGTATCCTTGCCATCCGGCATAAATACTTGATAATCCGGACCCATCGTATGGTCCGAAAGAAAAGTGTCTATTCGTTCTTTCATGGCCTTCATACGGCCCTTTGGTACATGACAGTAATAAGGATTATTCAACTCCCTATGAGAGGCGGATGGTTCCGACCATCCGTCCCCCTTTTCAGCTGCATGAGAAGTTCTCGCCTCATGCAAGCGAGCATGCCTTTCCTCTGAGCTTATAGAGAGGGGCCGACCCCTCTTCTTCTTCAGGGGCCGTCTGCTGACTGGCCAGGTCAACAGTGAAGTGGGAAGGGGCTACCTTAGCTCCCTCCTCAGAGCTTTCGGCAGAAGCGCCGCCTTGGGTCCCTGCGGTATCAGACGGCTGGTCTGACGTTTCACTAATTGGAACCCGGAAAGAGGAGCCATCAGAGTTTTCTATTCTCTTAGTCTTTTTTGTTCTTGCCATAATGTCCTGCATAGATACAAAGACAGTTGGATTCCGGGACTTGCGCAAAGTTTGAAGTACCGCAGGGCAATCGACACCCCTAGTCCTAGACTTAGCCGTCCCCGGTGACCGGCTGATTGCTAACCTAGGCCGTGCCGGATGCTTTTGAGGTCTCATTTTCAAAAAAGAAAGAAAAAGTGCAAAAGCAAAAAGAATAAAAGAACAGACGGTTACCTGAAACTTATGTTCTGAAGATCTTGATCGAGTAGGCGCCTAGTAAAACAGTCGTCCTGGCAGGTCAAAAGTTGCAAAGTGTCAGAGCTCAAGTTCAGGGGTCCGAGAGTTCTCTTGAAAAAGTTCGCAAATATGAACAAAAGACTTGGTCAACATGCCTTTATATATGGCAAAAGAGAATGCGAAGAGTCGCCTCCAAATTCAAAAAATGAGCGGGAAAAATGCTCGGCCCGTCATAGGGCTACACCTGTAGCAGGTCGTCGCCTGTTACAAGCCAACACCTGTCACAGGTGACAGGTGAACAGTCACACGTCACCTGTGAGGGGCAAATGATTAGGGGATTTTTCCCTACCAATCATCATCTAACAAGTGAACCAATCAGGTCCTGCCATGTGTTCGCCACATGGGCCAATAGGAGTCTGCCACGTGTCAGGCGTTGATCTGTCCACCATGGACAAGTTGTGTCACGCCACGTGGCCTCCATATGCCAAGCAGGCCACCTAGGCCCAATTTTCCGAGGGAAGCCCAGTCAGCCCTAGGTTAACCAAAACCTAGGATTTGACACATTTCCCAAGGTTATAAATACTCTAATTAATCCTCATTTAAGGGGGATTCATCAATTAAATTACTCTCACCTAGAGAAAACCTTTAATTTTTTCCGCATTTATAACTCCTAAAACAAGTACTAACTTGACCGTCGGAGGCGAAACTCCTACCACCCGGAGTCTCCGTTGTTTTGCAGGTACAGGCGCACGGTTCCAGTCCCGGAATTGTAACTCTCCCGCATGACATCAGAAAACCCCGAAAGATAAGTAACCGTCTGTATTGCCTTGGGGCAATAGTCGGATTTATCTTGTTTGCGATAAGTCATTCAAACGTACATGGGTTATCTTCAACCTAGACGGTTAAAGCCGTTTGAGAATATGACGCGTTGAACAATATACCACCCAAAAGGGAGATGTTCTCTTCAACGAATTCACCCGGATGGGCGTCGCCGGATGCCTGTTCTAAAGCAGGCAGTTTAAAATATGTTGGCTTTATGCCTTTAAATGGCTAAGTTAGGTACTTAGCATTTTAACGTTTGGGCAAGTTCATGCCTGGTTGTGCATTGCACAGGGAACTTTAAAAGGTGCATTGAAATAAAGTATCCTTTTGTTCATTTACTCTATTTATAAAAAATAATTACAATTTCCCTAGAAGTAGTACTTTTTTAAGTTGTCTACATTCCAGGTTCTGGCTAACTGCTTGCCGTCTTGTGTTTCCAGGCGGTAGGTACCACCTCTAACTTCTTCAAAAATCCGGTAGGGGGCTTCCCAATTTGGGGTTAGCTTTCCTTGCTCATTTGCCTTACCGGTTGACTCCATTTTTCGTAGCACAAACTCCCCCACTTTGAGGGGTCGCTTGTGTACTCTTCTGTTATAAGCCCTCGTCATTCTCAGACGGTATACCTCATGACGCAAGGCAGCGTTGCCCCTGCGCTCCGAGAGAGAATCCAATGCAAGACGCATGGCCTCCGAATTAGCCTCTTCGTCATAGAACATGACTCGGAGTGTAGGCTCATAAAGCTCAATTGGCAAGATGGCTTCAGTGCCATATGTCATGAGAAACGGGTTTTCACCGGTTGCCCCCGTTTCAGTTGTTCTGATGGGCCAAAGGACGTGAGGTAACTCAGCCGCCCAAAGTCCACCGGCTCTTTCAATCTTCTTTTTTATGTCGTCTGAGATGAGCTTGTTAAAGGCTTCAACTTGACCGTTTGCTTGGGACCGGCCAACAGATGCAAAACAATGTGAGATCCCCTGATCTCCCAACCAATTCTTGAGGGTAGGCGTTTCAAATTGAGGACCGTTGTCAAACACCATAGACATAGGAACCCCAAACCGGGTGATGATGTTCCTCCAAATGAAGGAGATGACATCCTTTGTTTTGATGCCTTTGACCGTCTCTGCCTCGACCCATTTGGTGAAGTAGTCTACAGCTACCAGAATGTATCTTCCGCCGCCTGTGGCAGGCGTATAAGGACCCAGGATGTCCATGCCCCATTTTGCAAATGGAACCGGGCTGTAGATAGCCGTAAGATCTATTGTCGGACGGTGTATGAGCCGGCCTAATCTCTGGCACTTGTCACATTTCTTCACCAATTCCATGGCGTCTGCCTCAAGGGTGGGCCAAAAGTAACCTTGCCGCCTAGCCCTCTTTGCTACAGACCTGTCGCCTATATGTGAAGCACAAAAGCCCGCATGCAGATCCTCTAGCACCTCTTTTCCCCTTTCTGGGGTAACACACTTCAGTAACGACTGGAGGTAACCCTTTCTGAAGAGTTCTCCCTTGTACATTTTAAAGCTCAAAGCTCGTTTTTTAAGTACTGCCGCTTCTGAAGAGGCATCCGACAAAGTGATGTCTACCAAATAATCCCGGATGGGGTCCATCCAGTTAGAGCTTCGGTCAAGAATTCCAATGGGGTCATGCTCAATACTTCTTTTTTTCCATAACCTCATAGAAGACTAACCTAGGCGTATCACAGGTGGCATATGAGGCCAATTTGGACAGAGCATCCGCCTGGTTATTTTCTGACCAGGGCACTTGACTTAGATGGAATTCGTCAAGTGTCGCCGCCTCATCTTTAACTGCCTAAAGGTATTTGATCATTGCCGGATGGCTAGCCTCATAGTCACCATTGAATTAGCTAACAATCAATCGAGAGTCAGAACAGGCGTCAACTTTTCTTGCCCCTGCCGCCTTACACATGCGTATTCCGGCTAGCAGGGCTTCATACTCAGCTTCATTGTGTGAAGCTTGAAACTTGAACCGTAGTTCATATTCATAAGTATCTCCTTCCGGAGATTTGCAAATTACGCCTGCACCACAGCCGTTTGAAGTAGAGCTTCCGTCTACGAATAACTTCCAAACCTGATTGGTATTCTCCGGCCGTGCTGGCCTAGTCATTTTAACAATGATGTCGGCAAACGCCTGAACTTTCACTCCCCGCCTAGGTTCAAAAGTTATTTCCAGGCTTTGCATTTCAACAGCCCTCTTGATCATTCTGTCAAATGACTCTATGGTAGTCATTGGACGCTTGAGTGGCTGATCAGTATAGATAGTCACTGGGTGAGCCAAGAAGTAGGGTTTCAACCACTTGACAGCTTTGTAAAGAGCTAGCCTAAATTTTTCGATCATTGGGTACCGGAGCTCAGCATTCCTGAGTATATGGCTGATGAAATACACCAGGAGCTGCTTGCCGTCTCTTTCGGTAAGGAGAACGGCACTAAGGGAGTGATCTTAGACGGCTAGGTACATGTAGAGAACTTCCTTAGGTAGGGGGCTCACTAGCCTTGGCAAAGAGTGCAAGTGTTGCCTCAGCCTCTGAAATGCCGCCTCAGCTTCTTCTCCCCATTCAAATCTAGATCTTTTCCTGATTGCTTGGAAGAAGTAAAGGCACTTGTCACCTGACCGGCTGAGGAATCTTCCTAATGCTACCAGGCAACCTGTTAGCTTCTGGGCCTCCCTGACAGTGCAAGGTGACTGCATGTCAATCACCGCCTACACCTTTTTCGGATTGGCCTCTATGCCTCTTTGATCAATCAGAAATCCGAGAAACTTCCCAGACTCAACACCAAAGACACACTTCATGGGATTAAGCATAACCTTATGCCGCCTGAGGGTGGTGAAGGTTTCTCGGAGGTCGGCTATGTGATCCGACTGAAGCTTGGATTTGACTATCATGTCATCAATGTACGCCTCTACATTCCTTCCGATTTGATTGATGAAAACCGTGTTTATCATTCGTTGGAAGGTAGCAGGCGCATTTTTCAACCCAAACGACATCACCGTGTAGTAGTACAACCCCTGATCAGTGACGAAGGCCGTCTTTTCCTGATCCTTCTTCCATAGGGGAATCAGGTGAAAGCCGGAGCAGGCATCCATAAAACTCATCAGGGCATGGCCGGCTGTAGAGTCGACCAGGCTGTCGATCTTTGGAAGGGGATAACTATCCTTCGGACATGCCTTGTTCAGATCTGTGTAATCTACACACATCCACCAGGTACCATTCGGCTTCTTGACAGGGACGACATTTGCTACCCAATCCGGGTAGTAGCATTGTCGAATGAACCCGGCATCCAAGAGCTTTTTGACCTCAGCGGATGCCGCCTGAGACCTCTCTTCACCATGATCCCTCTTCTTTTGCCTAACCGGCTTTATTTTGAGATCAACAGCTAACTTGTGGACAGCTAGATCCGGGCTGATGCCTGGCATCTCTTCCACTTCAAAGGCGAAGATGTCTTTGAATTCTTTCAGAAGTTGGAGCAAGTCTGCCCCCAACTTTTCAAAACCAACCGTCCCAATTTTGACTGTTATGTCAGAGCGGCTATCGTTCAGGACAGCGTCAATGCTCTCACCAGCCGGCTAGGGTCGGGAGTCATCCGGCCTTTCCCCGGCTAGTAATTGCTATTTTGTTTTTCTGGCGGGGGCCAACTGGTCCGCCTTTCGCTTTTTGTCGGCTGCCTTGATGATAGGCGCGTCTTCTTAGAGGTCAGCAGGTTCCTCGTTATGACCGGCTGCGGTAACAGTCGGCCTGACATCTGAGAGGTAACACTCCCTTGCCGTCTTCTGATCCCCGCTTAGGGCACCAACTGATCCATCATCCCTCTGAAACTTGATCATCATAAGAGATGGGATGATGATAGCCTTAGACTCGTTGAGGGTGGGGCGGCCCAGAATAAGGTTGTAGGCGGTCAATTACTCAACTACCAAAAACTTGACGACCATATGTCGTCCTTCCCCCTTGTCCCCTAGCCGAATAGGTAGGTCAATCCTACCAACCGGATGCACTACTCCTCCTCCAAAGCCAACTAGGGGGTGGGGAGCCTTGTGCATGCTACTAGGTTTGTACTTGAGCTTTGTCAAGCACTGGTAACTGATCAGGTCAGACGAGCTCCCGGTATCGATTAGGATCCGGCCAACTCGTTGATTGGCAACTTTGCATTCGATGACAAGGGGGTCATCGTGAGGCCGCCTGACCATGCCCCTATCCTTCTCTGAGATGAAGACCTCAGGGAAGGTGTCTTTCGACGCCTGGCCCTCATCTTCTGAGTTGGATAATTTTCGGATATTATCCTTGGCACCCGGGATATTAGGACCTCCGCTTGCGAAGCCGCCTGCAATGGTGAAGATAAGCTCTTCATCCGTTTCAGAGCTAGCAACCGGTTTCTTGGACGGCTGTCCTCCATTTGATTAGGGATTGCGCTTGGACTTCACCAGATAGGACTTCAGGGCCCCTTCATCAGCCAGACGGTCCAATAACCGCCTGAGGTTATGGCAACCATTGGTGTCATGGCCGACGTCCTCATGGAACTTGCAATACTTGTTTTTGTCTCTGTTCTTGATAGAGCTTTTCATTGCAGCCGGTTTTTCGATTGTCAACCGGTCCTTTATCTCCATGAGGATGGAGGATCAGTCTTTGTTGAACTCGTACTTAGGGACGTACGGTTCCAACTTCCTTTGCTTCTTCTGGGACGGCTTACCTGGGAGGTTAGCTGCCCAGACTTCTTTTCTTTTATTCTCTTCTTTTTTGGCCGGCTGGTTAGGCCGGCTGTCCCTCCTGTCGGACCGCTAGGGTTCCAACGGATGCTTGATAGAGCAGAGCTCAGTTGCCTGTATATAGGCCTCCGCCTCCATCAGCGCCTCTTGGAGGGTGACTACCCTCTTACGGACCAGGTCAAATTTGAAAGCTGACCTATCCTTCAGACCCTTGAAGAAGTCTGTATATGCAACTTCGTCAGACAGCCCCTGAATCTGAATTCTCATCAGATTAAACCGCCTGACATAGGACCGAAGTCCCTCCTTGTCACCCTGCTGGATAGCCCCTAGGTCGAGACTTGTCTTTTTAGTAGGGATATTCATGGAAAAGTTGGACAAAAACAGGTATGCAAGCGTCTTAAAGTTATTGATGCACCCAGCCGGCAAGTTGCCGAACCATCGCTGGGCTATGCCCTTCAATGAAGCATCAACACCAGGCGGCGTCATCCAACCCCTGTAGGTACATGAGGTTGGTGTATGCCATTAGGTGGTCATCCGGGTTGGTGGTACCGTTGTAGGCACCAACCAACACATTTTTAACCTTGGCCGGCTGTGCCGCCTCGGTTATCTCCCGGGAGAAAGCCGAAGGCTGTTCCCCAAGGTTTAGCAGTTGGAGCTGCCAGTCCATGGGCTGGACCTGGTAGGCCGCCTGACCCCCAAAGGGAGCCGACTGCATGAATGGAGATCCATACGGGGCGTATGGCTGTTGGGGCACATACGGAGCCTTCTGGATCAGATGAGGGCCAGTACGTGCAGACATGCTGCGTGATTGACTCCCCTGCTGCGTCTCTGAATGCTTCATTGAAGTATTTCGGAAACTGTCTGAGTAGGTCGACGTTGAGGCCGACTGAGACATGCTCTGACTTCTCTTCTCCTGAATAAACAACCTGGCGTCAGAGAAAGTCTTCTTTGACCCATCCGGCTGTGTATGCCGGATGGCCTTCCGTTGCCCCGATTCGAGGAAACAAAGTTTCGAGAGGTCGATCAGGGGCCAATCGGTCCCCTTGGGTTTGGGATGCGGAGTAGGCACCGGGTCTTTGATTTGCTTCTTCCTGGAGGGAAAGGCTTCTTTGCCGACTGACCCTTGCTGGAGCCGGCTGACTTCTTGATTATATCCATGATTTCCCCGTTGAAACTAGTCATTAGATTCATGAGTTCGTCTCTGGTGACGGGGGCAGCACCCTCCGCCACCTAGGGTTGTCCCACAGGCTTGTCGCCTGGGTTGTTGGGACCAACTTTATCGTGACCCCATTCCCTTGTTTCCTTGGAACGGGTGCGCCTAGATAGGAATGACCCGTTTGGGGCCATGTAGGTTTCGACGTTGTAGTTGTCCCCATTGCCACTCTCATGGTCCGTATGGACCTCAGGGTCAGCCGGAGGCCGGCTGCCCTCTACATTCGGTACAGCATCAGATGTCATCTTAGTAGTACTCTCCCCACAGACGGCGCCAAATGTTTCGGGTGTTTTTAGTCCCTCAGGAGAGTTACAATACGGAGTATGCGCGCCTGACTTCTGTACCTGCAAAACCACGAAACTCCGGTTGGGTGGAGTTCCGCCTCCTACGATCAAGTTAGTATGATTTTCGGATGGGTAAACGTGCGGAAAGTAAATAGGTATTTCTCACTGATTCAGAGAGATTCTGCAATTAATATTGCTCGGGTTTTGTGTATGTATTTTTTTTGAATGCCCAATAAATTAGGAGGATTCCTCTATTTATAGTGGGGGAGACAAGTTCCCTGATTAGGGTTTTTATGCCACGTGTCAGCATCCGATTGGATCCCGTTGGGCCTCTGGTGGGCTGCCACGTGTCATGATTCTACTGGGCCACGTGGCATAGGGTATTTTTACCTAAACAAAGTGCATGATTACAATGGGGCTCAAAGTTGAGTGTTGAAATATTCTCTACAATAACAGATTTGAGACATTAACACAAAAACAGGATTTAAAATAAAACATCAAAATAACATATAACCTGCCATAGGTTAAACAATGTAAGAGTCTTGTGATACACTTTGATCACCACAAGATTCAAATTAGACAATGACAAAGGCAAAAACAGAACACTCTCTATATGACATATATCACATGGTTTTGATAAACAAAAAACCAAAAAACAGAAAACCACAGCGATACCGAACAAACCCTTAGATTTTGGTCATTAGTGCAATTTCTTTGTTTAGTACTGAAGGTTTCTAATAATTTAACTAACCAGTCCATTTTAGGAGAAAATCTATATCATAGATAACTTATCATAGTAATGCTACAACATTATGAATTACATATAGGCATAATTACTTCAACCATATAGTTAGAGATAATATATCAAAACTCACAAGGACAAAACGATATGATCAAGCCAACCACCGGAATAGCTATAGGTTTTCCTTGTCTCTTTCAATACCTCTAGCTATCAAGTCCACATTCCTCTTCTCTATTACCTTGAAACCAGGCTGGAAAGAGCAAAAAAGGACATAAATCCTAGGGAAATTATGGCAAAAAATTATGGCAAAAAAAAAATCTCCTTCCTTTCCAAAAAAATGACAAATCCTCGTATGTAAAACGGTAACTTTCTCGTGCGACATAATTGGAAGATATATATATATATATATATATATATATATATATATATATATATATATATATATATATATATATATATATATATATATATATGTGTGTGTGTTTGTATATATAAATACATGTATATACATATACATATACATATACATATACATATACATATACATATACATATGTATAGGGCCGGGATCCGATGAGAACACTCCTAATATATGAGAACAAATCTAAGCCTTAGGATATAACGATATCAACGGCTCTAATAAATCCAAACTTTTCATCCATATACTTGCTGCTACTCAGAAAAACAGAGTGAAGAAACTACGAGCTTCAATTTCAATGAGATTCAAAGATTTCGAACACAATTCCGTTTGATTTTTGTCAGATTTCAACAGCAACAAGAATCAACAAGTTTCATAGATTATACAGGGGTAAATAATCAACAAATGTTATGTTAGTTTTTTCCGAATATAATTTTCTTAATTTTTGTCAGTATTTTCAAATTTACACTTTGTTGTTGTTTATCATTATCTTGTTTGTGTTGAAATAATCCTTTTACTTAGTTGATTAATTTTTGTTATGGATTCTGTAATTAAAACTTGGTTTAAATTGGGTTATTGGTGCATTTTTATGATACTTATGAATATCCTAATAGTGCATACAAGGTGTTTGATAAACTGCTTGTTAGAAAATCTTGTGACTTGGTACTCTATTATCAATGAGTTTGTTTTGAATGAGTTCGTAGGTAATACTTCAGATACTTTTGATGCGGAAAATGAACTGCCCTTTGTTATTAGGGGTAGTCAGATTGGTGTGGCAGACGGGGGTAGTTTGGTTAATGTCTTAGTTGGTGGTATTCGAACAGATGATGATCTTGGTATTTATCATATAAGCAAACAATTCTTTGCTCATCTGTCAAATGAGAAAATAATTCGTTCCTCATTTATCAAATGAGCAAAAAATTCTTTGTTCATTTATCAAATGAGAAACAATTCTTTGTTCATTTTGTCAAAATGAGCAAACAATTCTTTGTTCATTTATCAAACGAGCAAACGATTCTTTTTTCATTTATCAAATGAGCAAACAATTCTTTGTTCATTTATTAAACGAGCAAACAATTCTCTGCTCATTTGATAAATGAGCAACAATTCTTTGTTCATTTTGTCAAATAAGGAACAATTCTTTGTTTATTTTGTCAAATGAGCAAAAATTCATTGTCCATATACAAAATGTGCAAACAATTCTTTGCTCATTTATCAAATGAGCACATAATTCTTTACTAATTTATTAGACGAGCAATTGGTGTGCTACAATGTGTGGCGTGCCTGTGAGGACTGTAGGAGCAGCTTAGTGTTGGCTCGGAATGATGGCTGCAAAATTGTTGGTAGCACGACATGGTTGGTGGCGCAGATATTAGGATGTGTGGCCTACTGTGGTGTTATATTGTTGTTGTTGTGCGTGTGATTGCGTAAGGAGAGGATGGAGTTGTGGTGTAAGATAAGACCTTTGGTGGAGATGTGCGTGTGATTGGGTAAGGTGAGGGTGGAGTTGTAGTGTAAGGTGGGGGTGGAGTTGTGATGTAAGATAAGAGCTTTGGTCAAATGATTAAACTAATTCTTTGCTCATTTATCAGACGAGCAAACAAATGAGCAAGCAATCAAACTAAAATAAATCTTGCTCATTTGTCAAATGAGCAAGCAATTATTTGCTCATTTATCAAATGAGCACATAATTCTTTGCTCATTTGTCAAATGAGCAAGCAATTATTTGCTCATTTATCAAATGAGCACATAATTCTTTGCTCATTTATCAGACGAGCAAACAAATCTTTGCTCATTTATCAAATGAGCAACAATTCTTTGTTAATTTTATCAAATGAGAAAACAATTCTTTAATTTGTTAATTTATCAAATGAACTGATTAAAAATTTATAACATAGAAAATGATTTAAAACATATGATAAAACCTATTAGCTCAATTGGTAGAGCACTATGCAATTGCATAGGGGATGTAGGTTCAATTCCTACATAGGTTATCTCTATAAATAAAATTAATTAATAAAAAAATAATCAAATTCGTACTAATTAAATTATATGAGCAAAAAACTGATTTGAAATGATTTATAACTATATAAACTTTGTTACAATTAAACTCTCATACAAACTTGTATCTCCACTTTACATAAATGAACCTACGTGGGATTCGAACCCACATCTTTAGTGCACTTGCACAATTCTCTACCCTTGAGCTAGTAAGCTAACGTATTTAAAATATTCAAACACACTCACAAATGAGCATTAATTTGACAAAATGAGCAAGAATCATTAGCTCATTTGACAAATGAGCATTAAATAGTTTGCTCATTTGACAAATGAGCAAAAAATTAATTGCTCATTTTGACAAATTATTTGCTCATTTTGGACAAAATAGTAAAGAATAAATCAGCAAATAAGCAAAAATTTGTTTAATTATTCATTAAATCAGCAAGCTGGAAAAATGTGGGAGTTACTAAATTACCATTTCTTTTGTTCATTTACTCATATAAAGATGGAAAAATCGTATTCCAGGTCCAGTTGGGGCAACTTCTTCAACGCTAGATGTGGCCATTGTAGTCAATGCCTGGATCAAATAATCACACATGCAAATCAAAGAATGAATTTTATACTTAAGGTTAGAAAGAGAGGAAAAATAGGAAGGGAAAGAAATGTAAGTCAAAACCATAATTGTGCCAGCAGCAGATGTTGCCCTCGCTGTTGCAAATTCTCCTGCAAGAAAATGATCACACCAAAAACGGAGGTTTTTCCGGTTTCTCAATTCACCATAGAGTATCTATACAACAGGCTTAGACAAAGAAATTAAACACTCCACTATTCAGGAAGAAACTAAGAAAATGAATGTCATAGTATAAACAATAATAGCATGGTGAGGATGCCATGGGGAGTGTCAGATATATGCACCTTATGCAGGTACTTGCAACATTATATACTTTTAAAGTAGGAACTAATATAAAATGTGGCTCATGAGATTGTAAGACTAGAGTATTGACGAGTGTCAGACTGTGAATAATATTAATTAAAGTATCATCTTCAGAATCATATTCATATATGATAGAGCATCTAGTTTAGAGTATTTGATTCAAAGCATTGATCCAATATTGCTATATTAAACGGAGTAACAATCAGCACTAAGTAACCTAACACTTTGGAAAAAACCAATTTTATTTAACTCTCAATAGTTGAACTATAATCACTACTAAAAATTGACCACAACCATAACTATGAACCTCAACAACCAAACACTATTTTTTCCTTTGACTCGTGCATCACACAGATTTAGAAGCTAGTCTAGCTATATGTAAATGGAATGAGAAAGATATGGTCAATCATGTACCATGAAAAAAGCATCAACATAGCATAAATATAATTATATGTTCAAATATGTCACAATAGGAAGTAACAAAAAAGTTTGCTCTACAACCTAAAGTTATTCAAGAATTCAATAAGTGATAAAAAGAATACTATAAATAATCCAATTTTATGTTGCATAGACTCAGTCACTCACTCACCGTAAGAATCAAACTCCTTAGAAGCATCCAACACCTTTTTGAAAATTCTTATTATGTATCAGTAAAACAATTTATATACTCTAGCATCCACGTCCATGTACGATAACATGTAAAAGTATAGAAGGAAAATTCGAAAGATATGACCGTCATATAACACAATAAACACATTAAATGCCCAATTAATGATAAATGGAGAAAATCATTTAAGATGAACTCTATTGAAACATAAAAATTAGATACCTTACTTCCTGCAATCCATGATTTTATATGTAAAGGCTTATCTTGTCACTATTTTCAAACTATAAAGTAACGTTTCTCCATCTCGAAGTAGATGATTTTCTCAAAAGTATTTCAATTCTACCCGAAACAACTTCCAGTGACAACTAATAGACCGTTAAAATTGGCATGAGACTTTCAAAATCCGCGGATTATTTAAATAATTTGTATTCCATTCCATCGTATCACATAATATGCACTATTCTTAAATTTCTTGTCAACTTTGATCACCAATACAATAACTCAAAATTCCATTCCATTCCTCTTTCGTTTTCCTACCACATATCTCCAACAATGGAGGAATTCAGTTTCTTAAAGGGGAAGGATAATGGATCCTTCCAATTCCCTCCCATTCCCTCCATTAAGTATCCAAACAAAGGATTGTGTATCCTTCCTTTTCTCTTCTCTTTTTTTCCCTCCAATTCTCTCTATCTAAACATAGTGTAAAAGGCAATAATACATAAAATGCACGAAGTATAAGCAGTATAATCCTAAACCCAAAACGAATTACAATGACGGCAGTGTCCCAAACTCCCAACACTCAAGTAAAACATAGAAGTATCATTAAAAGCGACAATTACTAAACAAACTGAAGCAAACAAAAATCAGTAGAAGCTAATTGAAAGCAAAAAAACTCTGAAAATAGCAAAGATTGAGTGAACTTACAGGACATGAGGTAAGAAAGACCGACAACACATATCGAAAGAATGACAATTCGCTTCTTAGCTTCTTCAACCAAGTCACGAGAAGTCACCAACCGCCTCTGCGACTGCGAATTCATTTTCACTCCTAATTTTCCATTCCAATCTCAATTGAATTCTACAAACATCTTTCAACTCAAGCAACAATTCATACTAGAATCAAAAATTAGCAAAATGCTGGGAATTTCAAGAAATTTACTCAGAATCAAGAAACCTTTAGTAGAAATTGATCAGCAAAAACATCAAGGTCAATGATCAGGAATTGATTACTTGTTTCAGACGAGACAGATTAGCACGACCTTCACCATACACAAGACCAAATACATGAGCAGGAACCACTAGACAGATTACCTGATCTTTGATGCGTCGATCGCCGATTGATTTTAGGGTTTTAAGAGAAAGAAGGGGAAACAAGTAGGTTTTGCTGGAAATCTAGAGGGAGATGAGAGAGAATAGCTGCATTTGAGGGAATTTCAACAATGGTTTTGATGGAGGAGAGAGAAAATAACTTGCAAAATGAAGGGGGAGAGAGAAAACGCTGATTTTGTTTTTGAAATTATATTTGAGCGGGATAAATGGTGATCATTGGATGCTATTGATCCAATGGTTGTAATATGTCCTCACATAACCAGGTTCTCAAATAAGGGATGTGGTCTCAAATGATCCCACATATATATATATAAAATAAATTTTTTTTTTTTTTAAAAAAAAAAAAAAAACCTCATCCAAGAAGAGCTGTTGCACATGTTAACAATTACATTATGAAAGGAGAGGAAACAACATTTAAAAGAAACTAAAAAATGTTTAAGAAAATGACAATGACCTGTACTACATAATATTGCACTTGGCACAATGCAAGAAAAAGTCACCACTCTATCAAACCTATTTAACTTACCAATATGGCATAAACAACATAGGCTAAATGTTGTTTAGGAATCATGAATAGAAAAACTACCTTTCATGAGGCATCATGAAGAGCCTGATATTTTCTCTGACCTTCCCCTGGAATTCAAGAAGCTTGTATCTTTCATCACCATAACCACCTCTTTCTGCAATATGAAAATAGACATTAGAATATACTTCATCCGAACCTACCCTTGGTTTTGTCGAACTTCACTGAATTAGTTTTGCTCTGTACGTGTGGCTACTGCGAGCTGTAATTGATACGTTGTAATGTTTCTTTGCTGCTGTTGTCGTCGTTATTATTGATGCAATTGTTGTTGCGTGAGGTGAGAGGTGGCAGTTGATGGGCTGCGATTTGATGTTTTTATAGGTGGTGTTAGAGGCGACCTGGTGCAGGCTTGATTGGAGATGCGGTGAATTGGGAGAAGGGCCGGCCAATTGATGATTGTTGGTGGCGGGAAGGTGGTTGAGATGGTGGAGAAAAAGGTAGAACTCGGAGGAGGTGTTGTAGTTGACTTTGTGAGCAGGGTAGTGGTGGAATTATGAGGTGGTTGTGTTGTGGGTTGCGTTGCTTGTTGGTGTGGGAGGTTGGTGGCAGCTGGAGCTGCTAGGGATGCTGGAGGTGTGGGTGTTGGCTCGGTGTTTGTGTGGGAATTAAGAGGTGGTTGCGAAGGTTGATTATTGTTGTTGCTGTCTGCGGGTTGCCGTTGTAGAAATGGAGGTGTTGATGGGTTTGTGTTGAGCGAGGCAGCAAGAATTCGAAAGGAGATGATGAGTGGTGGAGTTTTAGAAGATGGAGTGGTGATGGTTAAGGTTGGGGGTAGCAGCTTGTTTAGTGATGTGCATGTGACCGAAACTCCGAACTTGCATTGAATTTGAAACTTGACCATGGCCTGAACACACCTACAACACGAAGAAACTGAGGGAGAATTGGGAAATATAAAAATATTAAACTACAATAAAGATAAATAAACAAAGTAAAAAAAAGTAATAAAAAATTAAAATAAAAAATAAAAAAATTCCTATAAAATATAAACTATTAAGATTAAATTAAAAAAAACTCAAATGAAGAGATAAAAAAAAAGGAAAATAGAAATTAAGAGAAATAGCAAAATTGACTCTAAAACTACCCTTAAGAGTGACATTAATGACACTCATCAAGCAACATGCTTGGAACACATTATAATTTAAGGGTTAATCACCAACATGACAAAACTATAGGTGGATATACATTAGTTAGTTTATTTTCCAGATGTTTATTTCACTCACAGTAATATATACTCTTCATTTTCCTAATACATGATTTTTCATTGTGAAAAGTAGAAATTAATACTAATAAAGCGTGGGAATGAGTCATGCCAACACTAAATGATGATTATTCAGATTTGTTTCAGGGTTTTTGGAGTTCCTCGGGAGAGTTACAATCCCTAGTATGCGCAGCCGACGCCTATACCTGCAAAACAACGAAGACTCCGGTTTGTGGGAGCTCCGCCGACGATGAAGTTAGTATACGTCCGGAGTAGTAAATTGTAAGGAAATGGTAAATATTTCTCTCTGATTTAGAGAGAATTCTGCAATGAATATTGGTCGGTTTGTGTGTTTTGTATTTATGGGTGAATTTATGAATGCCCAATAAATGAGGTTTGGTCCACTATTTATAGTGGGGGAACCTGTCCCTCATCTAGGGTTCCATGGACACGTGTCACTAGGGGATTGGAGCCCTGTAGGCCTCTGAGACGATGCCACGTGTCTAGGGTAGTTTTTTACCCTAAACATTTGCCCCTCACAGGTGCGACGTGGCTTAGCCACGTGTCACCTGTGACAAGTGCCAAGCTCTGGGGGAGTGACGGTTGGTCTACTTCCCGCCTCTTTCTCTCTCTCTTTTTTATATATTTTTTATTTTTTTTTTTGAATTTGAATTTGATGGTTGAGGCAGAAGGTGCCGGTTAACCTTCTGGGTTTCTCTATAAATAGAGGCAACCCACTCTCTCTTCCTTACTTTACAAATTTGCAAAAAAAAATTCATGAGAGCTCTGATATCGACTGCTTTTGTTCACAAAATTTTTTTTCTCACACATCCGGCTACCGTCTGTGTGTACTTCAAACCAAATCCTTAAAAACCGCCTGACCCTTCTTAGAACCTTTGCACTTTGCATTTGCTATACCCACAACCGCCTTCTACCGTCTGTGTTGTTTCTTAGCAACCTTTTCTTTCACCGCCTAAGGCATCTTTGCTTTCCTTTCAAAGCTTTCAACACACCCTTAGCCGGTCAAAACCGCTTTGGGTACTTTCAATCCCATTTTCAGAAAAACGCCTGGGTCCTCAAAGAAGCGTAGCAGATTTCAACAGAGGTACATCCGGAGTTCTGCCTGGGGTATCTACAAGAAGATTGGAGAAGTTTCGGCTGCTGTTGCAACTATAGTTCATCTCAGTTTTTTACAACTTGAAAATGGTACTATCTCTACCCATTGCAATTATTTTGCATTTTTTCGATTGTGTAGTTTGTATAGAATAAATGGGCTCCCCCATGACACACACGGCACAGCCTAAGACAGTGGTCAGCCGGCCACCTGGGACGGCTGAGTCTAGGACTAGGGATGTCGTCTAGGGGTGTTTGGACCACCCTTACTCTACTTCGAATCTGACCGTCTCTGTTCATGTGAAGGACAAAATGGCTTGGATTAGACGGACGACAATTGACCCTGACTACCAGTCCGATGATGCAGCTGTGGATCCGACCGCCTATGTCAATAGTAACCAAGCCGACAAACCGGCTGGGAATGTACCATGTTACACCCCGGGTGTGCCTAGTACACCTAGTGATGGTATTCTTGATGAGTTTGACTTAGACGGCGAGGAGTCCGGTGAAGAGTCCGGCTCTGATGAGTCTTCATCCGAATCAGCCGTTCCTATTGAGGAGGACGCCTAGAAGTGGCCGGCTGCTGGTAAAACAAATAAAGCATTCTCATTAATATACTTTATTTACAACAATTTACAAATTCTCAGAAGTAGTACTTTTTCAAGTTGTCTACATTCCAAGTTCTGGCTAGCCGCCTACCATCTGGGGTCTCCAGGCGGTAGGTGTCGCCTCTGATTTCTTCAAAAATCCGGTAGGGACCTTCCCAATTGGGGGTCAATTTCCCTTGTTCATTGGCCTTACCAGTGGCCTCCATTTTTCGTAACACAAATAACCGACTAAGGGGTGAGGAGCCTTATGCATGTTGCTGGGCTTGTACTTGAGCTTTGTCAAGCAATGATAGCTTATCAGGTTAGACGAGCTCCCGGTATCGATTTGGATCCGGCCAACTCGTTGATTGGCAACCTTACATTCGATGACAATGGGATCATCATGAGGCCGTCTGACCTTGCCTCGGTCCTTTTTCAGAGATAAGGACCTTAGGAAAGGCGTCTTTCGACGCCTAGCCCTCATCTACTGAGTTGACCAATTTCCTGGTGTTGTCCTTGGTACCCCGGATGGTAGGACCCCCACCCGCAAAACCGCCTGCTATAGCGAAGATTGTCTCTTCGTTTGTTTCAGAGTTGGCAGCCAGTGGTTTGGACGGGTGTCCCTTGTTTGTCTTGGGGGTACCCTTGGACTTGGGTAAGTAGAACTTCAAAGCCCCCTCATCAGCAAGACGGTCCAATAGCCGCTTGAGGCTATAGCAACCGTTGGTGCCATGGCCATCATCCTCATAGAATTGGCAGTACTTGCTCTTTTCCCGGCTGCTAACAGGACTTTTCACTGCTGCCGGTTTTTCAAGAGTCAACCGGTCTTTAATCTCCATGAGGATGGAGGAGCAGTCCTCGGTGAACTCATACTTTGGGACGTACGGTTCTGATTTTCTTCTGTTCTTCTGGGCCGGCTGACCAGATCGATCTGCTGCCCAGACTTCTTTTCTTTTCTTTTCTTCCTTCTTTGCCGGTTGGGATGGCCGGCTCACTCTCTTCTCGGACTTTTTACGGTCCGACGGATGCCTCACAGCACAAAGCTCCGTCACTTGTATATAGGCTTCAGCTTCCATTAATGCCTCTTGGAGGGTAGGAACCCTCTTCCTGACCAAGCCGAACTTGAAGGTCGACATGTCTTTCAGACCCTTGAAGAAGTCTGTGTAGGCAACATCGTCAGACAGCCCTTGGATCTGAATCCTCATCAGATTGAACCGCCAGACGTAGGACCTAAGTCCTTCCTTCTCCCCCTGCTGTATAGCCCCGAGATTGAGACTTGCCTTTTTGGCAGGAATGTTCATGGAGAAGTTTGACGTAAAAAAGTACGCCAATGTTTTGAAGTTGTTGACGCACCCGGCTGGCAAGTTGCCGAACCATTGTTGGGCTATGCCCTTCAATGTAGGCGGGAAGCACCGACACTAGGCGGCGTCATCCAACCCTTGTAAGTACATGGGGTTGGTGTAAGCCATTAGGTGCTATTCTGGGTTTGTGGTACCGTCATAGGTACCGACCAACACGTTTTTAACCTTGGTCGGCTGTGCCACCTCGGTTATTTCCCTGGAGAAAGCGGTTGGCTGTTCCCCAAGGTTAAGCTGCTGGAGTTGGCAGTCCATAGGCTAGACCGGTTGTGCCACCTGACCCCCGTAGAGGGCCGACTGCAATTATGGAGATCCATACGGCATGTACGGTGACCTGTATTGTACCGGCTGGATAATTTTAGGACCAGAACGTGCGGACGGGCCGCGCGATTGACTCTCTTTGTTTGACTCCGAATGCCTTATGGAAGCATTTCGGAAACTGTCTAGGTAGGTCGACGTTGAAGCCGACGCGAATAGCTGTTGATTTCTCTTTTCTTGGATGAACATCTGGGCGTCAGAGTAAGTCTTCTTTGATCCATCAGGCTGTCTCAAGGAAACAAAGATTTGAGACGTCGATCATGGGCCATCCGCCACCTTTGGTTTCGGGTGAGGGGTAGGCACACGATCTTTCAGTGCCCTCTTCCCGGAGGAAGGAAGCTTCTTGGCCAACTGACCCTTATGAGAGCCCGAGGACTTGTTTAGAAGGTTCTTCATCTCGCCCTTGAAACTTGTCATGAATTTCACAAGTTCTTCTCTCGTGACAGGAGCAGCACCTTCTGCCGGCTGGGTTGCCCCAGTCGGCCTGCCAGTTGGGCTGCTTGGAGCAGTCTTGCTTTCACCCCGCTCCTTTATTTCTTTGGAGCGGATGTGTTTTGTTCTGAAGGACCCGTCTTGGACCACATAGGTGTCGACTTCATAGTCGTCACTACTGTCTTGGTCCGGCTGGACCTCAGGCTCAACCATAAGTCGTTTTCCTTCAATAGTAGGTACAGGTTTAGAAGTCATCAAGGAAGTACTCTCCCCACAGATGGCGCCAAATGTTTCGGGGTTTTTGGAGTCCATCGGCACAGTTACAATCCCTAGTATGCGTAGCCGACGCATATACCTGCAAAATAACGAAGACTCCGGTTGGTGGGAGCTCCTCCTCTGACGATCAAGTTAGTATACGTCCGGAGTAGTAAATTGTACGAAAATGGTAAATACTTATCTCTGATTCAGAGAGAATTCTGCAATGAATATTGCTCGCTTTGTGTGTTTTGTATTTATGGGTGAATTTATGAATGCCCAATAAATGAGGTTTGGTCCACTGTTTATAGTGGGGGAACCTGTCTCTCACCAAGGGTTCCATGGACACGTGTCACTAGGGGATTGGAGCCCTGTAGGCCTCTGAGAGGCTACCATGTGTTAAAGGGCCATTGGGCCACGTGTCTAGGGTAGTTTTTAACCTTAAACAAGAACCCTAGAAGGAATGTAATCGGTTAGTGGTGTTATTTTGTGAGGCTTGGACCGCTGTAAAGTGATTGAAGTTGTATTGTTTAAATGTTATGTTGTAGGCCCCAAATTTGTATGTTGTGAAGGCTTTTGCAACTACAGTGCAGAAGTTTGATGACTCTAGGAAGAAGGTGGTCAATGAAATGGGTTTTGGAGGGTTGTTACGTATACCCCTGACTTTTGTACCCCGGAAGTTTGTGTACTGGTTGTTGACAAGGGTGATGGGTGATGGTTCCATAACTTTTGGAGATGAGTGTGTGCTTCCCTTGAGTCCTGTGCAGGTCGAGTACGTACTTGGGATTCCCATGGGGTCGAAGGAATTGCACTAGGCGAAAAAGGCAAATAGGCACCGGTTCAAACCCCCTCTTTGACACCGGTTTTGAACAGTTGGATATTTGAGGGATGCCAAATCTCTGAAGATTTGGCACCGGTTCAAAACCGGTGGCTATTTAAAGATTTGGCACCGGTTAACCGGTGCTAAATACCCTCTTTGGCACCGGTTAACCAGTGCTATTTACTCATGGCGCACTTTTTTTTTTTTTTTTTTTTTTAATTTCAATACAATATGCACCGGTTTTGACTCAGAACCGGTGCCAAAAGTCCCAAATTTTTTTTAAAAAAAAAACCTTTTAGCACCGATTCTTTACCAAAATCGGTGCTAAAAATACCCCAAAAAAAATAAATTTTTTTTATTTATTTTTTTTGAATTTTTTTCACTTAAATTGTACCAAATACTTATATATAATCATAATATACATAAAACACATATATTTTCTTCAATAACTTGTAATATTACACTTTTAAAAACTGAAAAAAAAAAATACAAAGTACACAATCAAAGATAGGAGGCAGTAGCAGCACTAAAGTAGCAGCAACAACATCAAAGATAGGAGGCAGTAGCAGCACCAACATCAAAGATAGGAGGCGGTAGCAGCAACGTAAAAGCAGCGATAGCATCAAAGATCAATAAGGCAGCAACAACAAAGGGAGTAGCAGTATAGGGAGAAGTAGAGGCAGCAACGTGGAGAGCAGCAACGTGGAGAGCTGATCCACTCTCTTGTGAAGAGGCAGCATTGTGGTAAAGGAAATGCAATTCACAGCTTCAACTAATGTAGTTATGTGACAGTAGGTTAACTGATCCTTTATAAGGACAGGATCCAGAAAACTATAGTTAAAAAAAAAGACTCACATGACTCACATTTCTGAGCCCAAACAAACAAGTCCAACATCAATATGAGCAACAAAGAAAAAGCAAAAAAAGATAAAAGATAGCAGATGCATCATTGATAACACTCTAGAACCAAAATCAAGCGATTAATCACATTTCAGAAATCAGATTGCAGAACCAGATTACAGATTTTTTTTCCTCTGTAAACCAAGAAGCCCAACCAGATTGCAGAAATCAGCTCCATCATTCATCAACAGAAACCGTAAATTTCATCAAAAGAAAGCAAATAATTCATGAATCAATCAGGGGGGTTTTTTTCATCCAAAAACTTCTCAAACTGTGTTACCTCAACGGACAAACCAGAGCAAATCACAGTGAGAAGTTGTACGTGAAAGTGAGTCCCTTCATCATATGGATTATCCTAGTGTAACTATTTACGGCCAAGGGACTCAAGGCATTATGATATCTATAGCACACATCTTTAAAATTCAAAGAATGTATTCATTTAAAGTGACAATTCATAAACCACTTGGATCAGCATAGGTAAAGGCAGAGACTCAACATGCGCAGCAACAACAACACAAGCTGAGCATAGTCAGTAACAATAAAAAAGGCTGACTAAAGGAAACAACAACACAGAATGAGCATATGAAACAAAAACAATACAGGCTGAGCAGAGTAACAAATAGCTGCACAGGGTGGGACTGCAATCTAATCGAGCAATAACACAATTAAAATAGTTACATCTATCCAAATGCTCAACAAGAGAAAATTATTTATTTACAACTAATAACATCTTCTCAACCTTATGATCTTGTTATGCATCCACAGCAACAATTTAACATCAAAAATACCCCATCGTCACTAAAAGGCGGTTGCTATAGGCGATATGAAGGGCCGAACAAAAACAATCAGCCTTCATAATCGAAATGCATTGCAAAGAAAGCTAACTAAATTCAGCAATCCATTAATTTAATCAGCAATGAATCAAACGATGTTAGGAGGAATTTCTTGTCAACATTTTACTAGAAAATTTGATCGATATCTTCCCTAAATTTGATAAATACAAGTAGATTCAAAATTCGCAATGAAGTAAATTCAACACATGTAAAACGAGGAATTCAAATGTCAAATTGCAAAGATCAACGAACACCAACACAAATATCACCAAAATCCATCCTTGCCAGCAACTGAAGTTACTGGCATACAGTCACAACCACAAACAAATCATCCACTCTAAACATGCTTCTATTTATAAAAAAAAAAGAAAAAAAAGAAAAAAAAGAAAAAAATAAATAAACGGAATGATAAATAAATTAGGGTTTCACAGAGACACTTACCCATCAGCTACAGTTGGGGAAAGAACAACTTCCAACTCATCTTCTGAGTCCTCAATAGGGCCTCCATCCTCCATCCTCCATCTAAGTCTGCAAAGTCTCCACTTCGAGCCTCAAGATCAACCATAGGTAGGGCAGCACCTCCAACCACAAGCTGGGCATCAGAGAGTCTAATTTATATTCAGCTACAATTGCAAAGCAAATGTCACCTTAAATCAATAATTCTTATAACTTTTGAAGCAACAATCAGCCAAATCAAACCCTAATTTCAAGTTCCACAAATTCTTCAAAAAATGATATTAAATTAGGTCTAATTACTAAATTCACTAATAAAACCCTAAATTCAAACCCAGCTAATCCTCACCAAAACAAACAATCAAACATCCAATCAAACAAAACAATGAGAATTTAGGTAAACAGTATCCAGAACAAAAAGGAAAATTATACTCCCCGCATACCTACAATAACTTTTCACTGTCATTTTTTTAGGTGTTCCAATACAAACTTTGCACTTCATTTTTCTTTCTCCATCCTCTCTTTTCCAAAGATTTTTAGGGTTTCCTCATCCACATTCAAGATTTTAAACCAAATTTCACGAACTATTCCTAATCTCTATGTCGATCTTTTTTTATTCAGTTAATTTTGGAACGGAGAAAGTATATGCAAAGCCGGGGTTGTTTTGGGGCGTCCATATATAATTCAAAACCATTTGTTTTGTATTTCAGCAAATTCAGACAAGATAAAGGTTCATTATAAATGCATAAATATATAGCTAGCAGTTTTTAAATTATATAGTTCAAAACCATTTGTTTTTAAATGAAGTTTTTAAATGCATAAATACAAATTCAGATAAGATATAATTTGGAACTTTTAATAAGAAAAAAAATAGATCGTGCATACATTATTTTGGCCACTCGAAAGCAACTACTCTCAAAATTTTTATGCAACAAGTAGCCACAGATATTCAGATTGATGGGGCAATGGCACACTAGTTACAAGAAAGAATGAATGTTGTTCAAACAATACCATTGTAACTAAAAATATTCTATGTTAAGGCAAAGCAGCACTGCCTGAGGGAATGAAGATACAACCAAGCTTTTTAACAAGAATAACCCTGACCTTTGTTTTGATATACACTCTTCAACTGTTCCTTTGCTCGATGGACCTTTGATTGAAGGTAAAAGCTCCCTTGCTTAGCATTCCTCTCAAATAAAACGTCGTACTTCTGCACAAGTCAAAATATATATGACAAGGAGAACTATGCAATAGGATAATTAAAGCTTAAAAATCACGTCTGCTTTTATATAAATACATTGTTTAAAAGGTGAACGAACACTGACTTTCACAATTTCCGACGATTAATCAAAACTTTCAAGTATTTACAAAATCAAAATTTAGGGTTTCAAGTTTCAACTAACAACAAAGAGAGCTCATAATCGTGAAAAAAATCACTAATAATCCATAATAAACCCAGAAATCCGCCATTAAAACCAGATCCACCAACAACACCCCCTGCCACCACCACCGTCACACTCCAATCAGCAACACCACTCTCATCAGCACCATCTAACCACCGCAACCCCCACCTAGCCACCCGAACTCACCACTGGCCCACCTGAAACACCACCACCATTGTACCCTACCCTAACCACTCGAATCCAAGAAAAACCCAGAAAACGTAATAAAATTCTAGAAAACCGTAAAAAACGCAACAATAATGAACCAAGAAAAAACCAAAAAAAATTAAGAAAAACAAGAAAACCCTAGAAATTTTTAACCCAGAAAAACTCAGAAACCCAAAGAAACCCAAAACCAAAAAAAACCCAAAGAACCCAGAAAACTCAAAACCCAGAAATCCAAAAAAAAACCAGAACCCAGAAACCCGCAATATTACATCAACTAAACCCAAAAAAATCAAGGCAATTTACCACTTGGTTCTAATGACGGTGGCTGATGCTTGCGTGGTTCGAATCATTGACGGCGACGACGATGAGAGATGAGAGAGAAGGAGAGAAGAACGAGAGATCGAAGATCGGAGATGAACGAAGAAAAGTGAGAAAAGAAAACGAAGAGAGGAGAGAGGATGAAGAACAGATGAGTACAAAGAAGATAGAGGAGTACAGAGAAGAGGGAAAAGAGAGGAGAGAAAAGAACAAATGAGAGAGGAGATCAGAGAACGAAAAGAGGCGGAGAGCAAAAGGGTTTATACTCGAATATTTTTTTTGGTTTTTTTTTTCTTTTTTTAATTTGCACCGGTTTGAACCGGTGGTAATGATAGGGGCGTAAAAATATAATATTTATATCTATTAAACACTTGATTTTATATTGGTATTTGATGGTTTAAAGGTATATTACGTAATTTTCTTATTTAGACACGAGTAACTACTATTTATTCTTATTGTTTGTAGGAAGAAGATTATGGTAGCAAAATACATTTGACCACAGCTCGGATCAAAAGAAGCATAGCTCACAAGACTAAAGTAAGTCACATATATTAAGCCCAATGATGTTTGAGTGCAAATAGCCACGTTGGCCTTGAGGTACACCAACATGTCACTCAGCCAACACAAATAAAAAAAAAGCAGCAGTGAAGAGTTCATCTCAATACACTTGTGGGTATCAAATATCAGCGTAGAGAAGAAAAAGATAAAAATCAGATAATTATTGGAGCGAAATACTCGGAGCTACGGAGTGGAATGAAAAACGAGTTTTCTTATCTTTTGGTTTTGGGAGTTCCGTATTTTCAAGGCAGCGAATTACGGAGGGGAGAATTGGATTTTTAAGGAGGAAAAATTGAGGAAAAAAGGAAAAAAAAAAACAGCAACATCAAACTCAGGGGAGTGAAGAACAGCGAAGGAGGCTGATTGGGTTGCTTTCTATGCTAGCGAAGCTGCTGCAAAGTAGCAAAGCAGCAGCGGTCAAGCAGAGCAGCGACGGTGAAGTAGCTGAGCAACGGTGAAGCGAAGGAGAGGACGGCGAAGTCGAGATGACTTATCTGCTCCATAATCCTTCGATTGCTACAGGGATAAAGGAGCTTTTCTTGTCTATTAGGTTGGCAGAATAAGGGACTTCGTTGGAGGGTGCTATTTCATTGATTTGGTATTCTGGATCCTATTTTTTTTTTTAGTTTACAATTCTTGCATGTGTATTCCAATAGTTGGATTTGGAGGTAGTTTATTTCTGTTCATCTACATTAGTAGTAGATTAAGAAGTAACTTCAAGTATTATAGGATTCATACTTGTTTATATTTATTTCCTGATTTCCTTTAAGTAATATGATTTATATAGCTTTCATTGTTATACTTTTACTTTTCAGTATGTTAGGCTAGATTATTAGTGGGTACGGAGATATATTATACATTGGATGATTGTGTTGTGAGAATAAGAATGTGGTAATTAGACAGTAGTATGTTTATTTCTTGATTGGATTGGTATTCTGTTTTATTGGTATGAATTGTCAGATTATATATTACAGACCGGCCATCTTTAGTATAATTTATTAGTTTAATTGCTAGAGTATTATCTTGTGATTCGTAATTGTCTGGGTTACTACTCCTTAATAGAACTAAGATATTTGATAGGTAACTAAAACTTGTGCGATGCTTATGATTACCAACCCTTTAAGTTGCACGAATCTGAGTTTGTGAGATATGTGACTTAAGTTAGCTACTTCCTAATTATTAATGCTACTAATTATTCGAGTCTAGAGAGCTTGTTATAGATTGTTAGTTAGTTAGACAATATTCTAAAAGCTTGTTTAGTTTATTTGCACTTAAGGGAAGTTTTGAATTCTAGTCGGTGTTCATTAGTTAACATCAAGATATGCATAATTTATGTTATTCGATGAACAATTTATATTCCAATGCTATAATATATCTCCCGATCCCTATTTTGTCATTCTTGATTTTGATCATTTAATTTTGTCAGTTTTATTTCCCCGTACTCATTTTGTTTTCGAGTCCATAGTTTATATTTTAGATCATTTAAGTCCATCTTTAAAACAGGGGTTTCTAACATTCGCAAGGAATAGTTTGATAAATCCAATTCTCTGTGGGATCGACCCTAGCTTACCCTACTACATTTTAGGAGGTTTTAGTTAGGTTTATTTTTTTAGACACGCGACAGTCTTACCAAATTTTGGCGCCGTTGCCGGGGAATTGGCCTTTTATTACATTATTACCTGTGTTTTTGCTAACTTTTCCTACTAACTTGTCCTCTAGTTCCTTGTTTGTGTATGTGTGACAGAAGTTCGAAGAATCAAAGATTAACGGAATTTGCAGCAAGGAACCAGGAACTTATAATTCATCCTTTTTCTACTTTCCCTGTAGCTAAAAGGGCTCGTGCTCAAATACTGGAGCAAGCTCGTCATATTCCGTTACCTCATAGTGAAAGTTCATTTTCGGACGAGGAGGGTTAATATATTTTTGAGATGGGTTATCAAACACTAAAGCAGCTCGCAGCTCCAACGTTTGATCCAAATTTATTATGCATAGTAGACGATGAGGCAGAAATTGAGATCAAGCCGGGGTTGATTAGAGCTCTTCCCACATTTTCAGGTTTCCGTAATACAAACTCCTTGGGTTCGGTTCACATGAATGAGGCTAGAATATTTTTGAAGGAATTTCACATAGCATGTGCGGGGATGAAACCGGCTAGTGTCACCCTCGACCAACTCAAGTTAAAGGCATTTCCTTTTGCCTTGCTGATGCTGCTAAGGAGTGGTTATTTGAAGTACCTGCTGGAACCATCACAACATGGGGGGGATCATTGCCTTGATCCCAAAGGGAAGCCTTGAGGCCTCGGTCCCCACCTCTCCTAAACTGCCACAAGGGTAGCTGTGCTGGCAGCCTGCCCTGGTTGCTAAGGTTGCCAGCATGCACTTCCAACACGCACTGTCTCAGCACGCCCAGCATATGCTTGTTGCGTGATGCTGGGTTGCTGGGCGCTGCTTAGCGTAGTGCTGCTGCCTAGCCAACGCACACACACGCATAGCCTTGCTAGCTGGTGCGTAGTGCTGGCCCAAGGCATTCGCACTCAGCGTATAGCCAACATGCGTGCTGCTAGCGAGCCACGCATGCTGGGCATTGCCTCGCCAACCACACGCACAAGCACGCTATTGCTTGTTGTTGTGCTAGCGATGCACACACACATAGCGATGCTGCCTAGTGTTGTTCTATGTGCTGCGATGGTGCGATGAGCGATGCTAGGCCTTGCCTAGCGCCAGCGCCTAGCATGCAAGCAAGGCCTAGCCTTGCGATGCTTGGGCGCATGGCTTGCTAGCATATGCGCAAGCACCTAGCACGCCTACCATGCTAAGCTTGCGATGAACTAGCCTAGCCTAAAACTCACATAGCTAGGCCAATGTGATGCTACGGATATACTCGTACTTGTTGCTTGTGATTTTGCGACGCTCGGTCTCGATGCCTTAGGCTCGATATCTGACGTTTGTGTTCGTAAAACTCCGACGACTCATCGAATCCTTCACATTGATTCGTCGTCTCGAATCGGTTATTCGATTGGGTTCGACCCGAAGGGTTTAGTTAATATTAAGCTGTAATATTAATTGTACCTTAATATTACTGATCGGAAGCGGCCTCCACCTAGGCATTCCGATCACTTGACCTTACTGAAGAATTAGCTCTGTAATAATTTTGAACCCTCTATTAGAATAATACACTTGTTGGAAGTACACCGTTCCTTTCAGTATCCGCTTCCCCCTCCATGATGTAATAAAGGTTATGCATCGAGGATATGGCCTGGGAGTGTGGCAGTTGACCCCAAATTCTTGGGTTAACATTCTAGGCTACATTGCCGCCTGTGAGATACAAGACCTCCAACCCGGCTGGGAGGCTTTTGTCCATATGCACTACACTTTGACCACCTACCCTAATTATTTGATGACCTTAGACAAACTACCTAAGTTTTCTTATTGGAAGAACGGGTTTTACCTGGTTTCTGCCCCAAACGGCGAGATAACTTTGAGCATTGTTGTTACAATAAGAAGCCGGATCTATTGGGTCAGAAATGTGCTCTGCCAAAGGTTCAGGATGAGGATTTTGAGAAAATAATAGAGCCGGGGTTCTTTGAGCTTACAACCACTCCCCTCTCAACTAGCGAGTTAATAAGTTTACCCAAGAATTGGGTACCAAAGCATGAATGACTATGAGATGAGGCTTCTTGTTCGCCTGTGGCCAGAGCACAATGTTTGATAGACGTATGTAGAGCATGCATCCGGGAATCTTTATGCTGCCTTTATAGTTTTGCAATAGTGTAATTATTGTTTGATTTCTAACAAGCGGTTCTTTTTGCAGAAATCACCAGGAAGATATTGTAATAAATGCAATTAACAAGCAAAACATAATTAAACATAAGTAAGGATAAAAGATTATACCTTTGACGCGTGCGTCGCTCAACAATGAGCTCTTACTTGAACCCCGAAAATACGAGGTCTCCAACGGGATCGTACCCTCGAACCCGACCCGAGCGTCCTAAGTCTCGAAGGTTAATCGAGACCCGGACAAATAAAACTATGAGTTTTACGAATTAAGGTTTACTCAAATCAAGAGTTGCCTTTTAATTCCACTCAAGGTTGTTCCTTCCTAAATACCCAAACTTTGGTATTTATAGGGAAATGAACCCTTGATCTTCATTTCCCAACCAATGTGGGAGAATGAATAATTTTGATAATTAATTTAATTCCAAAATAAATTAATAATCAAATCAATCACAATGCAACAAGTGTCAAGGGGAGAGAGAGAGTTAGGTGAGGACCATGAATCTTTTGGGGGACCATTGTCTTGCTCCCCAAGGCATGCTCCAAGCCTTTGGTCCCCACTCACCTAAAACCGCCTCAAGCAATGGGGTGAGCTGGCTGCTTGCTTTGCTGGCCAGCTAGCACAGCTAGCCCAGCAAGCACAGCTAGCTGGCTAGTGCTGCTTGCTAGCTTGCTGTGCTTGGTGCTGCCAAGAGAAAGCACGCACGCCAGCACACAGCTATGCGAATGCTCGGTGCTACATTGCGAGGCTGCAAGGCGATGGTGCACACGCATGCGCCTAGCACTGCGATGGTGCTGTGTGTGGTGCTAGGGTTGCAATGGCGCCTAGGCATCATGCTAGGGCTGCGATGGCACCTAG